TTTTGTCTATTACACAGAGAAAAAGGATCACTCTAAACCATGGGTTGTTGATTTTGATGCACAAAATGGTAACATTCAATGCTCCTGCAGAAAGTTTGAAACAATGGGTTTATTGTGTTCTCACTGCATAATAGTTTTGAGGCAAATGACTATTGGGAAAATCCTCGAGAAGTACCTACTATTGCGATGGTCAGCACGAGCTCGACAAGATATATATTATGGTCTAAATTTGAAAGAAAATTCTCAGAATAGCTCTGAAGCTAGTAGCGGATTCATATTCAAAAATTATATCAGTAGGTTTGAATATGAAATGAGCACACGAGCGCAGCTGAATAAGGAGGGTGAAGAATTCCTATTGGCTTCGATGAGGGATACATCTGAAAAACTCGATTTGATTGTTTATGGGAAGAGAAAGACATACAAGTCTACACAAGGTGGCAATGTACAACTGAAAGATCCTCTAAAGCGTTGGCCTAAAGGCATATCCAATGCTAGGCTGAAAAGCCACTGGGAGAAGAAGCCAAAGAGTATGATTTCATTTTCTGACTAATTTGATTTTTTTTTTATTGTTATTAATTTTTTTAACAGGAAAACCACAAGTGAAGAAAAACACAATAAAAATTCCAACTCCTTCAAGCATGCCCGAATGCTTAATGGAGGATTTCATAAATTCTGTACACTCCAACCAACCATCAGCTCGGCAGTGTAATTTCACAAGCATGTCCGAATGCTTCAATGAGGACTTCATAAATTTTGTACAGTCCAGTCTGCCATCTCCAGCTAAGCAGTACAATTTCACAAGCATGCCGGAATGGTTAACGGAGGACTTCATATCACAAGCACGCCCGTCTAGTCAGGCATCAGTACAGCAGTTCATAAGCATGCCCGAGTGCATGACTGACAATTTCATAGCCGGGGAACTGTCCAGTCAGCCATCAGTAAAGCGAGAAAAGCATTCTAATTTCACAAGCATACCCAAATGCTTCACTCAGGAACACATAAAAGGTGTACGTTCAAAAAAGCCATCAACAATGTACCTCAAGTTGATGATGGATATCATTAAATCAAAAAATTCTATGTAATAAGAATATTTGTACTATTATCTTTAGAGATATTTATTTTATAAGGATTATTTTTTTCTGGATATATGCGTGTGGATTGCGTATACAATGCGTACTGGATACGTATACAGAGGGTATTTTCTATGTTTCTGAAAATGCAATATATTTTCAATTATTAATAAAGAATTTTAACCCATTATCAATTTATGATCTCCATTACTACATTCATAATGTTTACCTATTATTGGTTTGACTCATTTTCTCTATATAAGAAATTTACCTTAACAAGGAAAAAACAAATTTTGTGAGTTGCGTATGGTATGCATATCTGAGGAGTACCAAATGCGTATCGTAAGCGTATGTACTGCGTATTATGACAACCCAAAGAAATCATTATTTATCACAAGGAATGAATGTTCAAAGGCAGAGAAACCCAATATACAACGCTTCCTGACACTTTTGTTTACGAGACGAAAAATTCCAATCACCTTTGATTCTCCCTATACTACAATGATTGCTAAACCAGTGAAGCATAACACCCACACTCTAGAATCATTAATTGTGTAGCACAAGGGTGTACCGAAGTATTTACACGATTCATACCGAAGGATTGGATCGAATAAATTGAATTCAAATTAAATAAATTTTTCAAGGAAAAAAATAATTTCTGTGAGTTGCGTATGGTATGCGTATCCGAGGAGTACCAAATGCGTATCGTAAGCGTATTTACTACGTATTATGACAACCCAAAGAAATCCCTATTTATCATAAGGAATGAATGTTCAAATGCAGAGAAACCCATTATTCAACGCCTCCTGACTCTTTTGTTCACGAGACAAAGAATTCCAATCACCTTTGATTCTCCCTATACTACAATGATTGCTAAACCAGTGAAGCATAACACCCACACTCTAGAACCATTAATTGTGTAGCACAAGGGTGTACACAAATATTAAGTCTCATCATGAAAATTTTTATAATCATTTTATAACAAGTGCAAAATGAGTATTTACACGATTCATACTGAAGGATTGGATCAAATCAATTGAATTCAAATTAAATAATTTTTTTAAGAAAAAAAACAATTTCTGTGAGTTACGTATGGTATAAGTATTCGAGGAGTACCAAATGTCTATCGTAATCGTATTTACTGCGTATTATGACAACCCAAAGAAATCCCTATTTATCACAAGGAATGAATTGGTTATTTTAAAAAAAATCTTGGATTTTGGAATTTTTTTTATTTAGAATCTTTTTAGAAGAATAAAAACATTAAGATTGAAATATGTAGTTGTTTATAAAAATGGCATTCACAGATAATCTTTCAACCATAAATAGAAAGAATATTAAAATAAAATGCAGGAAAAATAAAAGTTAACATAAGAACACCTAATTTTATAGTGGTTTAGTCCAACTAGATCTACATCCACTCCCTAGAGACTCCTTCTGTAGGTTTTGCACAAAACAACAGTGACTCTCTTTTTTCTCTCATAGTAAGGTGGAGAAGCCATTACAAACTCTCTTTCACCAACTCTGTGCGATAGAGAGCCGTCGCCTTTTACACTCTCCAAGTGATGACAGCATACCTTCTCATCCTTTTTCACTCACCTGGTGAAGGCTGAGTACCTACAAAGCCTTTTTCACCCACTTGGTGAAAGTAGAGAACCAAGTGTTAAGAGAGTTTCTATTTGCATGTTTTACATTCTTGCAACTTGTATAGTTTTGATGATTCCAAATATTATTATTTTATGTGTATTTATCTCCTAACACTTTTTGGAAGATTTATTTTTGCTCTTG